GCGCTTAATTAATGCTCGTTTGTTTTCGCTATCAAAGTACTGAAAGCTGATCTTTCGATCAGTGATTATCAGGAAAAATAGCTATGACATATCGTTCAGGAACACATTTTTACCGCCAGATGTACACATATTTACCAAAAAAAGAGGATGAGACATCGATCGCCTCGGATCTTAAAGTACTGAACACAGAAAGTGGAGACACATAATCACACGAGAACAGCTATAACCTCTGAATAACTCTGTGGAAAATGAAAACAGCATTGAAATTCTGTCATGAATATTTTCAGTAGCTTAAAACTCTTCCTTACTGAATGAGCTTTTAAGGTTATTTTCCTTCAGCATGATGCGCATGGATTATTAATTACCTGCATTATACACAGCGACGGAAATTAAAAGTCAAATTGGCAACAAATAATTTCACTCCGAAAGCAAATACGAGATCCCAAGATGTCGCTGTTTAACAAACTCCTCCTCAAGTTATAGAATCAGAAAGCAATCAATATCATAACAATTGAAACCGAGAGTTGCGCGGTAATGGCTAATGTTTTTTCCTCCCCGGCACTGAGTTTTTTTCAGTAATTTCAAATCGATAACATACAGAATTGAAATATTTCGACCCTTCCAAACACGGTTTGGTCTCAATGAACAAAGCTTAAAAAAACACCATCATTTCTTGATGATAAGTGTACCAGAGAAGTCGTTATGTGGAAAACTGAGGGAAAAAATTGAAAGCGAGTTGCGACTGAACCTTCGCATCGGATGATCCGGAGCATTGATTTAGTCGCTTTTAAAACGTTTAAAAAAATATTCCCAGCAATTTCAAAACTGAATACTGAAGTCAAGTTCCGCGATCGAGGTTTCGTTGTGTTGCGACTTTACATAAAAAGTTCACCGCGTCTTCCGTGGCACAAATTCCCCGAGAAGTCCTATTTCGCATTTCGGATTTGTAGGAAAATGGAATCGACAGTAATTGTTGTCATTTTATCTAAAAACTTCCTCGTGAGCTAAAATTGCGCAATTAAGAGGAAATTCGAATTCAGTTTCTTCTTTTAATACTCCTTGGGATTCTTAATCGTTAATTGCACCAATATTTTGACGTTCCGGCAGGAATTCAAGTGTGAGCAGTTGTCTAGACATTGTATTATATTTATTTTCCACTACCTACGAATATTGGAACCTTTGTTTATGCAAACTACTACGCGCGCCATCTTTTCATTCAGCTCAAAGCCTACTCGAAGCTTTAAAATTTGTCTCCATTAACGATGTTTTAATTTTCTTCACCATTTCCCTTACACTCTTTCAATCCTAGGTATCCATTTTAAAATTCTGGGAAAAGGTCTCCGCCACCAAAAGCGGATAAACGAGGGCAGCGTCTGAGTAAACCTAAAAGGAAATAATTAACATTCATATTAGCAATGGAATAAGAAATAGCTCATTCACTCTTCCACCTGTATTCCATTTAAACTGCAAGTCACCCCTAAAACAATCGCATACAAACATAATTATGGAACGCCATACCTGCCTTAGGATATTAATTTACACTATTTGTGGTGGTTTTTTTATTATATGTGGTGGTTACAGCATTATACGCAGTGGCTTATCAATTATATTTGGTGCCTAGTCTGTCATAAGTGGTGATTCTTTAATTCTACGCGGTGGCTTTTTCATTATATGCGATGCATGTTGTATTATAAACGGTGCTTTTTTCTTTACATGCGGTGTTTATTGCATTCTACGCGATGATAGTTTTATTATATGGGGTGCTCTTTACATCATGCACTGTAATTTAGTGGTTATGTGCGGTGCTATCTTGTTGAAGTGATTTTTTCCCGTTATATGTGGTGCTTTTCTCATTATGTGGGGTGGCTAATTCATTGTACGCAGTGCTTCCTCCTTGCGGTAATTTTTTCCCGTTATACTCGGTGCTTTTTTCGTTATAATCACGGGACCTCGTTCTCTATTGATTTGAAACGAGGCCATGCAACTACGCCAGGAAATCAAAATGGCGGCCACCATAAATAGGTAGGACGTTATGGCTCGTATTCTCAAAAAACTTAGTTTAGGTCATTCGACCGAGCTGTTCCATAGGGAAAAGATTACTCCTAATATAATCTCCATGCTATCTACTAATGAAATGAATCAATTAGGGATAACCAACAGGGTGGACACGATGAATTTGCGCCATTACAGTGTAGCAGATACGGTAGGCAGAAACCAGAAAGAAACCGTGTAGATGCGGTGCACTGGAATTTTACATGCCTAAATCAGTATTGGAAGATCATTTGGAAGAGGGCTTTACAGTCAAGAAGATTTTGTGTATGCTTTCAGTCAGTGAAAGAACAATTTATCGCAGAATGGAAAGATACGGACCTCGGGCTCTAAATTTTAGCAACATATCTGATGATGAGCTTGATCAGCATGTGACAGAAGCGTAGAAAGATTTTCCTTTTTGTGGAGAACAAATTTTGAAGTTTCTTCTCAAGGAAAGAGGCATCAAAGTGCAGAGAATGAGACTTAGGGATAGTATAGACCGCGTTCACCAGTAAGGAGAAAAAGAGAGAAAGAAAGGACGCTTCAAATGGAGGGTATATAACGTTCAAGGACCAAACCATTTGTGGCATGTCGACACAAATCATAAACTCATAAGATGGAACTTCATAATTGTGGGCGGAATCGATGGTTTCAGTAGACTATCAGTGATGTTGAAATGCACAGATACCAACAACGCAGATACTCTTTTGACGTGCTTCTTGGAAGCAGTGAATAGGTATGGCGTTCCAAGCAGAGTGCGAACAGACCAGGGACTCGAGAAGGTGAAAATTGCAGATTACATGATTTCAAGAAGAGGGGTAAACAGAGGGAGTGCCATCACAGGAAAGAGCACTCAAAACCAAAGAATTGAACGCCTCTGGAATGACGTCTATCAAGGAGTGCTAATTGTGTACTATCAATAATTAAAATCAAAATTATCTTAATTATGAACATGTAATTATGCAATATATCTGATTATTTGACTTGTCGTCTTTTATACACTTACATATACATATATATACAGGTATAGATTATTTTTACTCATTTTAAACACATTTTGTAATTTGTGTTTTTGTTTTCTTGTTTTTGTCTAGTTTGTATATTTATCATCCAACTACACCTAGACGAGTACGAATAACGCCATAAACGAGTACAAATATCACGCAGTATTTGTACTCGTCTATTGTAGTACCGGTTAAACTGGTTTTCTCGCATCGCGCAAGCCAAGAATTGGATTGTAGTTACGAAAAAAAAAGACAAATGGAGGACAATTTGAATCATATTTCCGAAGACGAAGAGTCAGAATGGCTGGCAAATATATATCCAAGTTTATTAGATAAATTCAACGAAGAAAAACAGCTTGACGACCAGAAAATTTCTTCATTTAATGAAGAAAATAGAAACAGCAGCACAACAACGCGCCAATTCCGTTCCTCGTCGCATACTTCTGTCACGCACTCCCCGTAAATAAACATCCGCGAAATTCCCCCGCACTGAAATAACAGTTTGGCGTGTTGGATAATAAAAAACTCATTAGACGTTTTGTTGTGTAGTATGGCTGAGTATTTTTACTCGTTATTTGTACTTTGACTCGCCCTACGGGCTCGTCAAAATACGGCACAATTCGTAAAAATACTCAGCGATACTACACAAAAAAAAGTCTAATAAGATATATATATCTTTACCCTTAGTATTGTAACAATAACATAATTCAGCCCTTCGGCTGCCAAGGTTTTGAATAAAGCCATCTATCTATCTATCGACGTAATTATACAAAGAGCTTTCAAAATAGCGGTAAACGCCGCGATGATTTTATGCTTCATATCCAGTCCTTCTTGTGTAGTTGGCCTCGTTTCAAATCAATCGAGAACGAGGTCCCGTGATTATAACGAAAAAAGCACCGCGTAAAACGGGAAGAAAGCACCCCAAGGAGGAGGCACCGCGTATAATGAATTAGCCTCCCCACATAATAAGAAAAGCACCGCATATAACGGGAAAAAAACCACTTCAACAAGATAGCACCGCACATAATCACTTAATTACCGTGCATGATGTAAAGAGCACCCCATATAATAAAACTATCATCGCGTAGAATGCAATAAACACCGCATATAAAGGAAAAAGCACCGTTTATAATACAACATGCACCGCATGGAATGAAAAAGCCAGCGCGTAGAATTAGAGTCACCACGTATGACGGACCAGGCACCAAATAGAATTAATAAGCCACAGCGTATAATGCTGTAACCACCGCATATAATAAAAAAAAAAAAACAACCACAAATAGTGTAAATTAATATCTTAAGGCAGTTATGGCGTTCCATGCATAATCCTTGACTTCCCCATAGTGGTTTAAGACTCTACGAGGCTACCTTCGTAAGTGCGCCAGTTTTAGAACTTTCATAACTAGTTATTCAAGTAAAACACCCTGAAACTTGGTGGAAATGGTTTCATTCATGCATTAATTTTTTTTATTTTTTTTTGCATTTAGTCTGATAGTGGTTGATGCAATGAGTTTGACAAAAAGGAAAATAAAACGTTACTGCACATCATTTGTAATTTGAATAGGACGCCTTGGTCATGGAAATTTGTAAGCAAGCGAGTGGCTAAAAAAAGTATTTTCCGTTTCCGTTGGTCGTTTCCGAACTCTGTCACAGAGTTGCTACCTTTATTCCTGTCAACAATTTTTTTTCATGAGATATTGAGTTGTTTTTCACCTTTACAGGCGAAGCCGTCATTTTAATTTTTCCCCAGGAAACAGCTTCATCAGGCCTGGCACCTGAGTCACTTCCGTCAAACTCCTGGCCTGTGTTTACAAACACAGAGAAGTCGGCGCCATTACGCTGTACAATGAAACAAAACCATGACATAATCTTGTCAAACAACATCTAACATCTCTTGCTGATTCTAACAGCATGCTGGAAACTTAATTCATTTGAACCTTATACAGGCTTAGCTAAGTAACGAGACCTAGTGATAGAACATAACTATACGTGATTTGAAGGTCGTTGGTTCAAATCGTGGGATGAATTCTGATTTTCTCTTTCGTCCCAGCCTTGTGAAAAGTTAATAACATTTTTCGTCATTAAAAAGCCGAAATAAGAATCAAACAACTTTTTTTACGAGTTTATAACAAATCCCTAAAAAATGATTTTAATTAAAGGTATGTACTGAGGTATGTTTTGGGTACTCGCGCGTCGAAACGAAAATGGAAACCTCGCAAAATGCGGGGGGTGGGGTGGGTGGGAGGTAAATGTGATGGTTAAGCACATCAGTACGAGACTATTTTGTAAGCAGACTTCACCTTAGCCCCTTGGAATGAAAATAGCTTTACTAGTGAAGGCAAGAGGAGACTTATTTTTCAACTGTGGATCTCTAAACTGAGTAAATTAGGACTCAGTTTTTGGAAGGTGGATATCGGTATTCAACCGATAAATCGTTTTCCAACCGGTTGGCGCACAGTAAAGCCTATGAAAGCAAAGAAGATTTATTCTATCCAAGTAATATGGCCAAATTTGAAAGGTAGCTGATCACGCAATTTATTACTTGTAGTAGTTACCTATTAAATACCGTTTAGCAATTTATAAAACCTGGGCATCTACTATCAAAACAAGGATTTCAAATCAAAGTTTACAATCTGTAGTACACTAGTGTTTGGAGGTATTTTTCTGTACTCTGCAAAATGACGTTACTAACCGCCTAAATTAAAGAACGTGGACCACACCCCACTTTTTTTCTTTTCACTACTTCGATAAATAATAATAATGATAAAAAAGTGAGCAAATCAAACAGTCACTACTGTCGGTGATGACTTCATCTTTACTTAGGCCAGGCAAGTACAAGAAATACTGACAAGATGACAAGAAATACAGACAAGACGACAAGAAATGCAGACAAGAAGTCAAGAAATGCAGATAAGAAGACAAGAAATGCAGACAAGAAGAAACTTCAGGGAAAAGAAGAAAAACTGCTGAAGGTAACTCACCATTAGATTGGCGTTGCAGATATGATGCATTGTCAGACCACCTCCTAAAATGATCAATCCTGTATTTTTGGCATATATAGATGTATTGTTCATTTTCCTTATATCTGAAAAAACAAACAAACAAAAATTTCAATTGAATAAATTGGTTATAAGAGGGCCACTCATCTATAGCTCATTAATCAGTGGTGTGAAGTGAGCATCAGAATTTACATAGAAATGGAAATCTTAAATTGGCTAACAAGTGAGCTGAAATGGCCAGAAATCCAAAACAGTATGGCCGCCGAGCAGGCGCATTGATGCCCAATACAGTCTTAGAATACAAACGCGTAATGCAAGCCGTTACAAAGAAAACAGTGAGATTTTGAGTAACCTTGATTTATTCTTCGTTATTACATCCCTTTGGAAGCTTCAGACCAGGATTCAGAAATCTTAAAACAAAGTTAACATCTCGTACAACCTGATGAAATCACGTTGTTAATATTTTCGTAGTGGTTAAACCGGTTCCCAAGTGCTATCTTTCTCAGCGCAAAAATACTTGAAATCCGCCAAATGTCTTCTCTATTATCTTGCCGAGTTCCCATTTTCTTGAAAATATCAACTGGTTTCAGGAGGGTTTTGGTATCCTTCCAAAAATCCGCTTGCTTTGTTTACACCAGAAACTT